TTCTGTTTTCAATGGAAAAATGGAGAAAACCACGGATTCCCTGTTTTTATCAGAGAAAACACGGATGTCTCTTTTTTGCAAAGAGCTCTTGCAGGCTGGCACAGCTCCATGGCCAGCTCTGCAGCCACAGCAAGGCATGGGGGTGGGGAGGTGGGGGCTTGGGCTTGCACACAACAGCCTCTGCCACTTACCTGGCGGCCAATGACGGTGATGATGGCTGCTGCTTCCAAAACTTCCCGCTGCCACTGTGGAGCCATCCCTGGAGCTGTGCAGCTGGCTGCCAGGCAACAGCTGCAGTGTGGTGGTATCCAGGCATCATGCAGCCATCCCCCACCACCACCCTGTGCTGCGCTGCTGCCGCTGGCCACAGAGCTCCAAGTATGGCTCTGCGGCAGCAGGTTTTGTACGCAGCAGCCGTCACCTCTGGCATGGGCAGCCCCACAGGCAATCACCAGGGGCTTCCTGTGCCAGCAGTGACTGCCACTGCCTCCAAAAACTCCTGCTGCTGCTGCAGAGCCATGCTCGGAGCTGTGTGGCCGGCAGCAGCAGTGCAGCACAGGGTGGTGGTGAGGATGACTGTGTGCTGCCTGGCCACCACCATGCGGCTGCCACCCAGCGGCTGGCTGCACAGCTTTAGGCATGGCAGCTGTGGCTGCAGGAGGTTTTGGGGGCAGCAGCTGTCACCACCATCACGGGCCTCCAGGTAAGCGGCAGCTGTGTGCAAGCCCACGCCCCCATCGCTCTGGCTGCAGAGCTGGCCATGGAGCTGTGCTCCGGCCGCATGCCAGCCTCCCTCTCCCCATCCCCCGGGCAGCATGTGTGTGGCCTGCACGTGGTGGACACCACCACACTGCACCCCATATCATTTGCCCGCAAAGCCCCCATGCAGAGGGGCACCCCTGCCCTTACCCCCTGGCCCTGCTCCCAGCTGTGATGTGCTGCCTGGGGCCAGCAGCACCCCCTGCTCCCTCAGCCCCCAAACCCCACTTACCTCTAGGATCCAGGGGCAAAGGGCATGGCTCCACGGTAGCAGCACTTGCCCACAAAGCCCCCCACCCTGCTTGCAGCCGCCACCATTCCACACTGCTGCGGAGCTGTGCAGCTGGTTGTGGGGCATGCCGCTGCATGCAAGCCCCCCATTTCACCTCCCAGCCGGGCAGCACATATGTGGCTCACACAGTGGTTGCCACTGCACTGCTGCTGCCGTGCCCTGTGCCGCTTGCCTGCAAAGCCATTCAGGTGGCTGTGGGATGGTAGCGCAGGGTGCAGTGGCAGAGTTGCGGTGGCAGCCTCTGTGTGCAAACCTGTCAGGCTGGCTGGCGTGTGTGGCCCACAGAGTGGCACCCCTACCCTCACCCCCCCGCCCTGCTCCTGGGAGTGGACACAGGCACACTTTCCCCCCTCCTTGTTCTGCCCCCCAGCACCTTCCCTTTCCCTCACCCTGCCCCACATCTTCCCCCCACACACACTTACCTGCTGGGGTGGGTGTCTGTGTGTGTGTCTGTCTGCATGTCTGAGGGGCTGTTGCAAAGGGCATCAGGAGGGCTGTTGAGACTGGGGGGGTAGTGCAGTGCACCAGCAGCACTGGGAGAGGCTGTGGGGGGGCTTTAATTTTTATCACGGAATTTGCTATTTTTAATCAGAGAATTGGCAGTTTTTAATTGGAGACAACCAGGATCCCTGGTGGTAAGGCATTGTTCCTCTGTTACCCACCCCCTCCTTTTGTTGGGAGGGAGCCTGTCTGTGATCCTGTTCCACCTCATCCTTGTGACTGCAAAAGTGGTTCCTGCTTCAGCTGCAGCAGTAGTAAAGGCAGTAGTAGCACTGGTCCCTGCTGTGTCATTATGCAGAGCTACTGCCTCAGGTCCCAGATAGATTGTATCTCTGCTTCCTGTCACTGACACTTGGATCTGGGAATAGCTGGTAGTCATTAAGCCTTGGTAGTGGGTGGGGAACAGAGCAGAGGACTAAGAGATGCTGTAGGAGGAAGAGATTTCTCTTATAGTGGTACATGTACTGTTTGGATGTTACATGCAGCACTGCAAAATGTAACACTGCAGAGAGTTCCTGTTTCATCCAGGATCTTGCTACTGTAGTTACTTGATTCCAAGACTAGGCTTCCCCACTCCCATTTTAAGATGGTGGAGGGAGCCCCTCATCTTGGAATCAAGTAGGAGGCAGGCAGCTGCTCTAGCTCTGGCCCCAACCCCAGGTTGGGGTTAGAGCCACAGCTGCTGCCTGCCCCCCCCACCCCTGCACCCCCTGTCTCCCCTGTGCCACTTCTGCTACCTTCATTTCCCACCCAGCTTACTCTTGCTCCAAGGATGGCAACTTCCATCCCTGCTGCAGTCTGGAGCAGAGAGCAAGGCTCTAGCCCAGCCCTGTAGCAACAGTGCCTACTCCACGCTGCTGCTGTGTGGCTGGGGCTGTGCTCCATTCCCCAGACTGGAGCAGGGACAGAGCCTGCGAGAACTGGAATAAGGGTAAGGTGGAGAGGAGCAAGTGGAAGGTAGAAGTTTTTAGGGAAGGGAAGATGAGAGAAAGCAGGGGTGGGGGCTTAAGGTTCCAGTGGCCAGAAGCAGCATAAGGGGAAAAGGGGTCTGTCCTGAGGCTGCAAGGGGAGATGGCACAAAGATGGCATAAGTGCGTATGTTGGGGTGGGGGGTGGGGAACAGGTGGTAAGGGTCAA